GCGCAAAGACTGGTAGATAGATATAAAAAATAAATAAATAATAAAAATAATAAGAAACAGCTAATCTTTTTTACTACATAGAAGATCATCCAAACATTCGACTAAATCTGTTGTGTCATAACGCGCTTCTTTTGGCATTCCAACAAGTCTTAAAATACCATCTACAACAACAAAAAAACGGAATGGCCATGGTGAATACAATTTCAAGAAAGTATCATCCATCGTGTCAGCTAGTACAGGAATTTCCAACTGAGTTTTTTTAACCATTTCACGTGCAGCAGCTAAACGGTCAGATAATGTGCGATGCTCCTTGACTTCTACAATGTTGCCAATAGGCCAAACATCAGAAGCATGTGCCTCTTTAATTTGAATCATATAAAAATCTACACGTGTTTTATATCGAATATATATATCATTGAGTACATGAGATATATACCGGTATAAAGGACAAGTATATGATCCACCAAGAAGAACAAGAGGCCGTCCTGATTTACAAAGTGAACGTAAATTAACCAAAGTTGATGAATTAGCATTGTTGTTGTCAATTACTGATGTAAAAATTGAATAATCTAGTGGAACCAACGGACAATCAGGTGCTGGCATCCCTTCAATGAGATTCCCAATGTTAGCAATATTATTGCGAACATATACTTGAGTGGTACGAAATTCAGGATCATCTTGATGAGAAAAAGACATTAAAATTAAATATCATTATAAAAAAAAAAAAAGAAAAAAAAAGTAACACTACTTACCTGGGTAAAGCTGTGGTGCACGCCGCAACAATTGCACTGCTTCATCCGAATATCCAAACTCTCGAACCAACTCATGCTGCATCTGATCAGTGACATCCATCCAATCCTTGTTGGATGTAGGATCGCTCCCAACATCATAATATTTTTTTTGCATTTCAGGCGAAAATCTTCGCCGTTCTTCTTCACGTAGCAGAGCCAATAATTTCTCTTTAGTGTCTGGTAATATCAGGGAGATAGTAACAGGAACAATAGAAGTGCCTTTTGGAACTTCCTTCGGATCTAAGGGATTCAAGATTTTAAGGAAATGATGCTGTATGTTATGAAGCAGGTTGGACATTGTGATACAATTAAAGCACAAGTCATAATCGGGACATTCAGAACATTTATATCTGTAAGTAGTAAAAAAAAAAACATTAGCAAGAAAAAATGAATATCTTCAAGCTGATTAAATGCAATTAATATTTACCTCGCCCCTTTCCATTCACGTTCGCCGCAATAATTACAGACAATACCAGCATGAATACCATTTTGTAGACGTTCTTCAGGCGTTAGCATATATTGAGCGAGTGATGGCAACGCATCAAATTCTTTGCGACCGCTGGTTTCTTGAAACATTCCGCCACGTAGTCGAAGTACGAGATGAAGAGTAGACTCATTTGGGATATTATAATCCGATAAGGTACGTCCATCTTCTAATTGCTTGCCAGCAAAAATGAGACGTTGTTGATCAGGAGGGATTCCTTCCTTGTCCTGGATCCTTATTTTAACTTGGTCAATGGTATCACTCGATTCTACATCCAGATATACATCTTTTCCAGTTAGCGTTTTTACGATTATTTGACGACATGGTTTATATTGCATTAGACTAATCGTGGACTCATTTTTAATCCCATAACATTCTAAAGTTTTAAAGGTGCTCCAGGAGGCTAAAGCGTTATAACAATGTATAATTCCATTATCAATAGTAAAATAAATTAATTGATTAGGGGGAATGCTTTCTTTATCTCGGATCATACGCATAATCTGTTCGATGGTGCAATTTCTATTCACTTCCAATTTTAGGATTTTTTCGCCCATTAATTTTACATAAATCATTATTGCTCCATATTCTAAGTGCAATGTAGACCCTTCATCGATTTTGTAATATGACAGGGATTGATCATCATACAATTTATTATTAAAAATAAGATATTGTTGATCAGAGGGTATGCCTTCTTTGTCCTGGATCATCTGTTTAACTTCTTTAATTGTGTTATCTCTTCTTGCTTTTAACTCTAAGTTTTTTTTTTAAATCATATAAAAAATAAAATAAAATTAAATTTGTGTGATTTATCTTTTATTAATAATATATGAATTTTCATAATTAAAGTATTTCATTTTATGCTATTTAAATTATAGTACATTAATTGTCGGAATTTTGATTTAAATACCGCTACGTAACTGATTTTTGGGCGATGCTAGGATGGTTAAGTTTCAATAACTACAGAATAGCATCATTATTGACTCTGTAGATCATGATGTCAAGTGTAAAATCATGAGAAATTAGACGATTTTCCGATTTTAAGAGAATTTTATAGATTTCAATGAATATAAAGATACGTTAGAAAATAATAAAATAGAAAATCTAAAATCTCCGAAATTTTCCTCGATCATCATCACGAAAATCATGAGGTCATAATTCTCCTGCACTAGTTGAGACACAATCGATTTCAGTTATATAATTTTGCACGAACAGTGTAACGTCTATACGAATTACCAAATTTATCTTATATTTAGGTTCCAGATATAAGAACCATTTTTGCAAAAAATTGTCATCCCAAAATGCTCTTGTCCACTTTGCTTGACCCAGTTCCCATTTTTCCTATCCGCCTTCAAAACACTACAGGTTCTATTTATGTTGCAAATGTGACCAGACATACAACCGGTAGATCATTATTGAGTAACTTTCAAGAATGTGTTGGACCACTCATGATTCAGTCATGTAAGCTTGTATACAATGGTATGGACATACAGCTTACCGATACACTTGAAAAGCTAGGAATAAAAGTTGTCCAATACACGTATCCATTAGAGGCATTTTCATATTAAGTATATAGGTCAAAAAAAAACTTAAAAAATGTCGATATAGCAGGTATCGTTATATACAGATGTAGATACTGTATAATGAGAGTGAATGTACGACGTTCGATGATTTAGCTCTAATGTCCTATGCCAAGAACATTTATGCAGCTCAAATTTTGAGATCAGGTGTAACGTGAATTATGCACTTGCTTGTAGCTCAAAATCTTGCTTATGAAGCAGCCTTTCGCATTCTAACAAAAAAAAAAACACCTTGTCAAATTTTAATATAAGTTATATGCTGTTATTATGCTTAATCTCACCTAACGCTAACCTTAATGTTAACTTTAAATCTCGTTTATTTGATTGTTTTGATTTTCACGTTTCACCTGATCTCAAAATCTGATTGACTGATGCGTATAATTTTTTGGTGTTGCTTTCGGCATAGTTTGTGACAAACTATTTATTGTTTTGTCTCTCATTTACGAGTACATTTATCATGAAGAACATAAATGGGTATAGCCCTTCTGCTATCGAGCAACCTAC